CCACCTGAGACACACCTGCCAGTCGCATACGCATCACTTATTGCAGCTTCAGCCGCTGCGGTCGGGGTCAGGTCCACCCGCCGCACGTCTTCCTCCGCCTGGGGACACCACGGCGGGCCGGGCGGCCGGAGCCGCGGGAGTCGCCGCCCCGTCGGCCGGCTGCCGGTGCGCGGACGGACGGCCGACGCTGTCTGGCCGCTGACGGATTGTGCTGCAGGCGGCGCGCGGGTCGCTGAGCGTCGTCACCCGGCTCGGCCGCGCCGCGACAACGACGCCCGTCGGGACTCATTCGCGTCGGCGAGCGCGCCGTCCCGACGTGAGGCTCGCTCACAGCGTCCGGTACCTCGGCGGCGCCGGCGCACGCGGCCGGCCCTGGGCGTCCCTGAGCGCCGGTCGGCCGGCGGCGGCGGCGGCGGCGGCCGGCCCGCACCGGCGCCTCGTCACAGTCAGCGAGCCGCGGCGGCTCACGCGCTGCACGCACGGAGTCCGACGCGGAACACGGCACGGGTCGCCGCCCCCCACGCCCGGAGCAGCTCGCGCTCAACGACTAGACGCAAGCGCGGCGGCCCGCGCTGCACGGACACTTTTACAAAAATAAATATCTGAACGGCGCGCTCAACGGCAAGCGCGCGGCACACGGGCGCCGGTGGCGCGCTGTACAGGAGCGGGCGGCGAGGCGGCGAGGCGGCGGCCGAGGCGGCCCGCCGCTCAGCCGGAGGCGCCGTTTTCGGTCCGCGCCGGCGCGCCGTCCGAGGCGCCCTCCTCGGCGCGGCGGCACGGCCCGCAGACGGCAGGGTCTGGCGAGACGCGCGACGAGCTCAGCTGGGCGAAACAGCGCGAGCACACGCGCACCGGCGAGTACAGCTGCTCGCGCGGGATGGTCGCCTCGTACTTGGAGCAGTCGGCGCAGTAGACGTTGCCGCAGTTCCTGTGGACGGCGGAGACGATAGCGTTGTAAACAGAACAGCCGACAGTGACTGGCTACCAGTCTGGAGATGTCGGAGCTGCGTGTTCATATTTTCTGTTACCAGGCCGTTGTACCATCACGCGATGAGACAGCCACGTTGTTTACTTTCAAGTCGTTCAGGTCTTCAAAGAGACCAGGAGAATGCAGCCCGTGCAGTATAGTCACGAGTACGGGCGTAGGAAACTGGTACCCGTGCCCGAAAATGAAACAAAGCGGCTGAGACACCAAAAGCAACTTACACCGTTCGGTGCAGCTCGGTCCAATACCTACCACAGGTGGCTTATTTTCAGCACACTTTGGTCCTGGCGGTTGAAGCTATCGCCAAACATCATTTTGTTTGCCGTAAATGGCCTCCCATCCGCTTTAAGTAAACACATCAAACACCGGGGTGGGAAGCTCGCTACCAAACGATGAACTTATTTATCAACAAACTTATCAGCAGAAATGTAAAACTTTCACCTTTTTGTAGTAAAGTGATGCAACTTTGCCCACGAAATATAATGATCCAGGTCACAAGACATTCGTTGCAGAATGCAAGGTTCTAAAAACAAGATGGGACCGGACGCAAAAGCCTTAAAACTACCTACCACGCTTGCGTTTTATTGCATGGAAACAAACAAAAATATTCACGATGCACTGCTGGCAACCAGATAAAACTGTCATGGCAAAACTGGGGTAAACTGGGAGAACTGTGAATCAAACAAAAAACTACGGCATGACTCAGTCCAGGCCACGTCCAGGAGCAACATCTCTACAATAAATCGAACGGCATCAGAGTTGCTGTTGGTACGTTGGGGCGCGCCGTTGGCAGAGACCATTCTGCACCAGTCACAGGGGGCACTAGCGTTCCCGTCAGCATTACTATCACCGTCACCTTAGTGCAACCTGTCATGACCCGAGCCAGCCGTCCCATAGTCGACAGTTAGTTCATGAATTCTGATAGGCCCAACAGTGCCCGGAGCGGACGGAACAGTCACGCTCGACCCCGTCTGAAGTGGAGGCGGCCTGACCCCCCCCCCCCCCCCCCCAGCCAGAGCTGCGCGTGCGGCGCGCCATCCAGCCGGCGCCTCGCCCGCGCCGTACCTGCAGTGGTGGCGGCGACGGCCGAGCCAGAACTCGGTGTCGCAGCCAGCGCAGCGGGCGGCTGCGTAGTCCGGCACCCAGAGCTGCGGTCGCGCGTCCGCCTCCTCCACCGCCTCCCAGCTCACGTCAGACGTCGACGACTGACGGCCCACCGACAGCTGCTCCTCCAGCGCCGCCGCCAGCTCCTGTGGGCAGGCCGGTAGCTGTTGAGATCGACGGCCCACAGACAGCTGCTCCTCCGGCGACGCCGCCAGCTCCTATGGGCAGGGCAGTAGCTGCTGAGATCGACGGCCCACAGGCAGCTGCTCCTCCAGCGCCACCAGTTCCTGTCGACACAGCTGTCCACCTCAGTTCACCTCAGCGGCTCAGACAGCTGCTCATCCAGCCCAGATGGACGGCAGACGTTCGTCCTAACTGCAAACGGCTACGCCGCAGCTGGCTTAGCTCTCGGGTGACTGGAACAAGACAAGTCAAACAGCCGGCGAACGCAACCGAGTTGCTCGGCAAGTTTAATGGGCTTCCCGCGCCGCCAGTGTCAGGGGGTGAAAAGGCGCCGGCGCGTGGGCGCGCGCGGAAAAGTTGCCCGAGTCCATCTGCCCGGCTGACCTCGTCGACCCGACGGCAGAGTTGCCGGCTTTCATGAGACGTTGGGTCCCACAGAGTCAAGAGGTTGAGTCCCTCTCGGAGAGAGGCGATGAAATCGCCTCCAGGCTGTGACGGGTCAAAGCATGCCTACATGCCGGATTAATGATCATTGTTCGGGGTCATAGGAACATTTGTAATTAATATTCCGCTTTTAAGTTCGCCCCACACAAACTCCCTGCCACGTGACAAGTGTCGCGTTACAAACCGCAACAACATTACTTTTCCTTTGCGATGCAACATGCAATTCGACGATACGCGCATCCGTGAATGCCTTCGGGTTTCATCGCACCTTGCCACGAGACAACACGAAGCACATCGCTGCTGGGTGACCTCTGTCATCCACTGCGCGCAACAATACATGGATCTTCTCTCGCGTCGAATACAAACTGTTTGGCTGGACTCATTTCGGCTAAATCCACCAGGATGACTAAAAATAAAAAACACAGGATGACACAGGGGGTTAACCGAGCGGGGGGGGGGGAGAGGGCGGGACGTACCGCGTCATCCGGCCGGTCACCGTGCCGGCCGCCGGAGCACTGGTACGCCACCTGGTTGCAGAGCGCCAGACGCGTCATCTGCAGGTCCCGGCGCAGTGCCTCCACTTCGCTCTGAAAGAGACGCGGGTACGCCGCCGGTCACGAACGGGTCACGGCCACTGGCTGCGCCGGCTCCCGTACAACCGTACAACGTACCCCGGTCGTACAACACGCCCCCGGTCACAGGTGCTCAAGGCATTAAGACAGACCGCTCCACAAAATAGCTCCGATATATACTGAATGTCAGTCATGGGCGCAGGCAGTGTTTCTGAGAACACTGAAAACCATTGGTGTTAAAGAACAGCACGGTCCCACTAGCCAGAAGCCACTTCCCAACACGCGTGAAAACGACACAGGGCGCGCGCTCAAATTCGGAATAGTCACGGGCCTGCAAAACTATGGCTTTTTATCAGCGCTGAGCCATTCCTGCCACGTCCTGCCTCTGAAATAAGCTCTCAGAAGTTATCAGACCCACTCCAAATAATCCAAGTTTCAAACAAAAGAAGTTTAGCCAACATCCAGGGATTCCGCGTCCAAGCCAGTACTATCAATTCCGTAATAAAGTGATTACCTTCTCCATAAAACGCCGGGGGTAGGTGCCACAGAATGAGACTGCCATCGATCACTTATACAGAAGTTAGGACCCGATGCTCGTTTTTGTGACTATAGTCAGGAGGATAGAACGCATTTTGTCAGCTACTGTTCACTTCATGCAGACGATGGCAAAACTACCACAAAAATATATACATATCAACTCATCTTGATATCTGCAGGCACCTCGTGGCTCCATGTGCGTGACATGGTTGCGCCCCAGTGAGATAACATGTTAAATTTGGCACAAGCTGCATCTTCTTCCTCCTGACTTCCTTCGTCCTTCCACCCCCGTTCTCGACTTGACTTTGCCCCGGGAGAAAACTTAATCGGTTACGATGTGTTCGTGCCCACTGTTAAAAAATGACAATCCCAATGATGACCCAGATGTCGCCGACCGTTACGAGCGGGTAGATCCGCACCACAGGGAGTCCCAGATATTGACGCCCCGGGCCTCGGACATCGTTACTATGCCGCACCAGCTGCGCGGAATCGGCCCGCCCCGGTGACGGCGCCGCCGGCTCGCTCCCGGATACAATCAGCTGATTGCCGTCCAGTATCCGATTTCCGTCCTCGGGGGGCTGGCAAATCGCACAACAGGGAATAAGGACGTAAGCCGGGCCGACAATAACGGACGAGGTCGCACTTCTCCTTGGATACACAGCACCGACGGCTCGGCAGGAGTAGCGGAGAGATCGACTGCGGTAAACACCTCTCCAGATCTCGACGGCCCCTCTGTTGTGATCGTCGCCCCGGACATGTACCGAACCGTCCACGGATGATGCCGCTGAGGGCTGGATTGTGCTGTAATATACCGCATTATTTTGGACTTGCTGGCGCGCCCAAACATCTCAGCGGCTCGTCGAAATAAAAGGCCAGGTAATGTTAGCAAAACAGCATGGGTGTGGTCGGGACGTGACAAGTTTTTTTATTCGAACCTCCTTGACCATAGCAAAACTCAACCCTACCGGCTGTGCGGTTTCCATAACTTTCCACGTCGTCCAACCGCATGGGTCAGCCCCGCCGCCTCTTCCCAGTATTCCTCCCGGCCTAGCCGCCGGCCCCGCCGCAGCCTACGCCTCCCCCCCGCGCCGGATGCCCGGCCCGGTCCCAGACGGAGCCGGCAGCTCGGCGGCCGCGTCCGGCCCGGCCCGACGCTGCATGCCGAGCGGAGGGGCGGCGGCGGCCGACCAGCTGTCGCTGATTTATGCAGCGTCCGGCGCCGGCGCCGCTCAATAGCCGGTCGCGGCGCGTCATCGGCCAGCGGTCGCCGGTGACGGCTGCTCACCCCTGCCGCTCGAGATGTCGCCACGACGCTCCAGACACCGGGCGGCGCTCCCAGTCGGCCGGCACGCCCGCGGAGGCCGGCACGACACCCCGACACCGGGCGGCGCTCCCAGTCGGCCGGCACAGCACTCCGACACCAGGCGATGCTCCCAGTCGGCCGGCGCGCCCGCGGAGGCCGGCACGACACCCCGACACCGAGCGGCGTTCCCAGTCGGCCGGCACGCCCGCGGAAGCCGGCAAGACGCCCCGACACCGGGCGACGTTCCCAGCCGGCCGGCACGGCACTCCGACACCAGGCGATGCTCCTAGTCGGCCGGCACGCCCGCCGAAGCCGGTAAGACACACAGACACCGGGCGGCGCTCCCAGTCGGCCGGCGCGCCCGTGGAGGTCGGCACGACATCCCGACACCGGGCGGCGCTCCCAGTCGGCCGGCGCGCCCGCGGAAGCCGGCAAGACACACAGACACCGGGCGGCGCTCCCAGCCGGCCAGCACGCCCGCGGAGGCCGGCACGACACGCCGACACTGGGCGGCGCTCCCAGGCGGCCGACACGCCCGCAGAGGCCGGCACGACACTCCAGGAGCGCTCAGCGGGCGCCCGCTCCCTCTGCACGAGGTGGACGCGGGTCCGCAGCTCGGCGGGCGGGGCCAGCGGAGCTGCACCACGCAGTCGGCCAGGCAGCCGCCACCGGCAGACACGGAGCCAATCTGCGGTAGTGATCCGATCACCGGGAAATCAATTTCATGGGCCCGTCTCGCTCAACTTTTAGATGACGACCCGGGTGAAATCAATAGGTTACTTCTCCAAACGTATTGCTCTAACCCCTGTGACGCCGATGGATTTGGCCGCGGACGTACTTAGCTTAAAGAACCAATGAACTTAGTGAAACTATTAAGTTATTCATATTAGTATCCAAGCTCTCCCCAATCTTGTGTTTCATAAAACAAGCAAAACGATGATGGCCGAAAACCTTACCGGTGCATTTGAATGTCTTTCATCCTTCCGTTTAACATTACCTGATTACCAATATCCCCTCAGGTAGCCGACCGTGCTCGCTACAACAAACCCTGGCGTTACTGCAAAAAGCCACCTAATGATCGCGGCCCCGCATATACACTTACAGCGAGTCTCACACCGCACAGCACGGCCCGCCCACAGACCTGACACCGATCTCTGGACCCCTCCAGAGTGTCGCGACCCCGGCCGGCCCGCCCACAGACCTGACGCCCAATCTCTGGACCCCTCCAGAGTGTCGCGACCCCGGCCGGCGCGCCCCGCTCGGCCAGCGCGTCTGCGTCCTCCCGCGCGCTGTTGGTATCCTCCCAGTTGTCCCGACAACTCGCTCACCAGAGCCAGAGCAGAAGGGGGGGGGGGGGGGCAGCCACCTCTGGCGTGGCCGCCACGGTCCGGCCGCGCCTAATGGGCCCGCCCAGTTGCCGTCCTCCAGCCATCCGTCATGGCCCGTTGGCGCCAGGTTGCCAGAGACCAGCGGTCACCGCCGCAGCCGTGGCCGCTCCCTCGACAGCGGCCGGCCGCCCGCCATATGGGGGCAGGTGTGCCCTGGGACAGACGCTGATCGTTACCAGTTGCGGCGGAGCTGGACGGCCGAACACTATGCCCTGGTTCTGATCGGCCAGGGCCCGACATACGCATGGATGTCAAAAATGTGCCCTGGAACCGTGATCAATTTTTCGAGAAAAAACTGAAACTGGATTCTGGGCCTAATAAATCTGCCCAGGAGACTGGACAGCGGATCGTGGAGCCTAGCCAGATACCTTCTCAGACTTCAGGCTCACGATCATGGCTATCAGACAATCAACCATAAAAATATAAGAAAGCCCCGGATCCTGGGATCTGCCCAAAACATGAAAACCAACAACCCAGGATCCGAAAGACCCGGGACCAAGAACGCAAAACCACGGCCCGAATCCACGTCTGGGATCCGTGCACAAGTCTAGATACGTGCCGCCCACAATCCACAGTCGCGGTGGTAATACAGAACACCGCCCATCATTCCTAGTTAGGCAGAGAAGACATTCCCAGAAACTCTCCGACGCCCTCCGCTTCCGGGTCTCAATTCGCCGCAAGCTATTGAGCCGACGCCTAATTGAAGGTATCCCACGTGCCTGCCGCGTGCGTCGGGAAGTGGCCGCTTCTCGGCAGCGCTGGCTAATTCATGACCGGCTGGAGCCGGCTGCCACGCGGCCATGCATCACCCTTACTCGGTCGCCCGTGCCGACCAATGGGCCGCCGCCGCTGCCGCCGCACGGCCGGGGTTCGCGGCCGGTGACTTCGTCAGCAGGTGGCCGAGCGCGGCGCTGAACCCAGCCAGGGCCGGTTGGAGCCGCGGCCCCAGCCAGGACCGGCTGGAGCCGCGGCCCCAGCCAGAACCAACTGGAGCCGCGGCCCCAGCCAGGACCGGCTGGAGCCGCGGCCCCAGCCAGGACCAGCTGGAGCCGCGGCCCCAGCCAGGACCGGCTGGGACAGCGGCTCCTGCTCAGCTGACTGCGGCAGCTAGGTGGGCGGTCACTGGTCCCACCAGCCACTACCTCGAACTGGCGGAGTGACTCGATCCTGGCTAGAACTGAGCCGAATTGACTGGAGCCAGGAGATAATTGACTGGATCCCACCTGGGACAGCCTCGAGCCCGGAGGGGACGGCTTAACCCGTACTCAGGCATTTCCACAGCCGCTTCAGCCACGGGCATTCACAGCGCAGCTCTCCACCAGCCATAAGCCACTGGCCAGACGGAATCAAGACAACGCGGCTCCCAACAGCTTCATGCTCATTAAGATATCGTGGCGACCACTTTCAACCGCCTCAAAAGTTCCATGCAGTGCGCACACCCATATTAACACTGGAAATTATATCATATTTTAAAACAAGCTTTAACGACGGCCAGACGTCAGGCCAGACCATATATAACTGGCAAGTAATCGTTCTGTACGCGCTGGAGAAAAATAGCGGTCAGTTAAACCGTGACGATCAGTGCACGGCATGACACAACATCCTCTGTAAAAGCATGATAAGTACGAAACCAAATTGCAACGACCAACCTGAGGTCGCGAAGGTCACAAAACGACCACGTGCGACGACTACGGCGGCCGAACAACGAACCCCGCCGCGCGGCCGACAGCCCGAGCCGCCCCCGTGACGCCCGAGAGTAGCGCGGTGGGCCGGGCGGCGCTATCGGCCGTGGCACGGCCGCTGCCGCCGGCCGGCCGTCACGGCAGCGGCCGTCCAATCCCGCATGCAGACGGCCCGCCTCCGGCCGCGGCCGGCCCACCCGGTCACCGAGCGAAACGGCCGGCCGGCCGCACTTCCCCGTAAACCTCCGGGCTGCGGGCGTGGCCGCCGGAGCTCGGATTAAATTCCCGTAACCCGGCGCCAATCAGCGTGCGCCATCCATCGGCGCCGCGCGTTCCGAGACGCTCCAAACTGCCCCGCCACTTAAACAATTCAGCAGGCGCAATTACCATTGGCCGAGGCCCATTTCGCCTTGCGGTGGCCGGACCGAAGGCCGGGCCCCCGCCGGCCCCATTCGAAGCCCGCCTACGCCGGACAGCTCGGTGCCGGAGGTCGGGCTCACCGGCTCGTCAGCGCACCACACATCACCACTACTGCCGCCACTATTGCCGGCGCAGGCCATCCCAGCAGAGCCCGGCACACGCGGACCCGTTTGATTGCAACAAGTGTCCCCCTCCCTCGGGCTCCAGGCCACTCAGGCAGCACGGTGGCGGGATGGGGGGGGGGGGCTCACTCGTGGCGCCCTCCAGGTCGGTGGCAGGTCCTCGGGATCGCGCCGCCAATCCCCGTGCAGATGGGACGAGCCGGCCCCGGCCGTGCAGATTCCCACAGTGTCGGTGGAGGACCGTGTGCAGGGTCGCTCCCAGTTCATTCAGGGCAGTTATGTCTGTTATGTTATGAGTGTACGGAAATAGCATGGCCCAGGCTACACAATAGGGCTGTCCTCACTCCGTGTTGAGTCGGTAACAAGTGGAATCAATGATAACTTCCACGACGGACAAATGGCTAGGCCGCAGCTTTTTGGCCCGAGCCGTATGCACGCTGGAACCCTGTGGCCTTATATAGATGGACTCGCAAGACGTCCACTGTTTGAACATTCTGACCACCTGCCCGTCATGTATGATGAAGAGGAATATTTGGGCTTGAGGACGCGCCGGCTGTCCTACCCATACCGCGCTCGTGTATCCTGATAAACGGTTTTCTGTGAGCAGTGTATGGAGGACGGCTCAAGTTTAAGACCAACAACACTTAGCATGGACAAAAGCCGGAACAGTTCCAAATTCAATAAGCCCTTGGGACGTCCCGCAACGCTGTAGCTACAATGAGCCAGGAAACTCTTTCCAGTTTCGAATCAGACAGCCGCCGTCCCCCGAGAGAAGTCGCGGCAGACGATGCCTCGGAGGTTCGCTCCAACAAAACACTGCGACACAGCCACGTCTCCACACATCTCCGCGCCGGGGCTGTCCCACGGCCACCACCGGCCGCGACGGCGTGTAGCCCGGTCAGCCGACGCCAGGGCGCCCGTCGCCGCGCGGCTGCCTCTCACCTTGTGCGCGATGTGCATGTGATAGAGCCGCTGGTGCATGTCGTCCTTGACCCGGGGCAGGCCGTCCAGCTCCAGACGGCGGCAGGAGGGGGAGTCGGACGTCCGCTCCGAGAGCCTGCCGGCGCGTGCCGCGTCACCGCCAGCCGTCTCAACGCACGCCGCTCGTGCCCGTGAACACAGGTATTATGCTACCGAAGACTTCACCACCTCCTATGCTCGTATTGGGTCGCAAGATGTGTGGTCGGGTAAAGAGACGTGACAAAACATGTGATGTGTTCATTACAACGCGCCGCCGGGGGCCATCGAGATCCTCAGCAGCCACCCCCGGACCGCTGCGCGCGCCGCCGCCGCCCACCTGTCGTCGTTTGGCGTGGCCGGGAAGCCCGAGCTGGGCGTGCGGCTGTGGCCGGGGCTGGCGCGCGCCGGCTGCCCCATCAGCCGGCGCAGCTGGTGGCAGAGGCAGCGCTGGCGCACGCCCGAGTGGCTGATGTCGGTGGTGCTGGTGCTGCGCTCGCGGCGCTCCTGGCTCGCCAGCGTGTCCGTCGAGCCGGTGGCGGCGCCGCTCGAGCCAGCCGCCGCCTCGCTGCCCTCCGGCGAGGCGTCCGGCAGACCGGAGTCGGCGTCACGCTCGGCCGGCGGCGGCGGCGCGGCAGACGCCGGCGGCGCGTCTGCCTCCTCGGCGCCGGTCGCGTCGCCGTTGGTACACGCCGCCTCCGCCTCCGCCTCCTTGCCGCACCTGGGGCGCGCCGGCCGGCCGGCCGCGCGTCAGCCACGTGAACGATGAACGGGGTGCGGCAATGATGAAGAGCACCGTGGTGCGTGCAGGTCGTAGGAGGATGGGATGGGGAGTGATGGTGGCACAGGCTAGAGCGATCGATCCGGGCTGCAGCTGGACGACACGCTGGAAAAGGACCGGGAGCTATAAAACAGCCCGTGCCGTTCAGCGCGGGACACATAGGATACAGATGGCGGAGAAGACAGGGTCGCGCATGATCCATAATCAGTAAGCAAACATTAGAGGCAAAAACAAAGACAACGCAATGACAGTCACGTTATCCACAAAAATGACACACACAAGTCTCAGGTTATTACACCTAGATGCAACACGAACTGAATGCAGATGAGCCTACACCATCTTCGCGTCCAAAAGGCAGACTTTAGGAACAGGGGGTGACCATCGATGCTAGACTCCAGCAGCTGCACAGACAGACCCGTCCGTCCATCGCGTCTGTCAGGGACGTGACCCACGTGCCCAGCAGACCGAGGTCCCTGGCGGTCCGAGTCGGCTCCCTCACCTCAGTGACGCCCGATACACGGGGGACCTCACATCCGTACCCACTCAGTCGCGGACGTGACTCCCATGCCCTCCTCCTCCCCCCAGCCCACACCAGCCGGGCCCGTGACTCACGTGTCAAGCAGGCTGGGGTCGCTGGCCGTGCGCGTCAGCTCCTTCCGCTCGGTGAGGTCCTCGCAGCTGCGCGTGCGCACCAGCTGCTTGCCGGCCGTGTCGGCCGGCTCTTCGGGCGGCGGCAGGCGGACCAGCACGTCGTCCGAGCAGGGCGGCAGCGAGCCCAGGTACACGGCCGACCACAGGCTTAGGTCGCGCGGGTGCACGGACGGCGTCAGCACCTGCCAGGGGCGCGGGTCCGCGCTGGTCAGGCGCCCGCAGCAAGAGTCCGGCGCCAGGCGGAGCACACGCCCTGTGTCGGAGTACCGACCAGCGGGATGCGATGCTCTTCTGACCGCACAATGCGAAACAGGCCCATAGGAGAAAGGCAAATGGCGAGAACCAAAGCAAGAGTTCAGTAACGATTGTCGCACACAACGGATGAAAGGATGACAGGTAGAGCGATGACACCCACAACATAGTTACTGGTACAGACACAATGCGCATGACATGGTAGTTTGTATGCATTGCTGTGTATGGATTACTGTATTCCACAGCTCAGTCGCTGCGGCCGGCTCTCTCGAGGCTCACCTTGCCGCGGTTAATGTACAGGTAGTTGGTGAAGCGGTCGCGGTTGGTGCGGAGGTAGGCGAACACGGAGTACGTGCTGCTCGCTAGCTCAGCCGCGTCCCGGTCCCGCGGAGAGTTGCACAGGAACGTGCCGAACAGGTTGGAGTAGGTGTGGTGGACGAGCTTCACCTGTCGGGACAGGGCCGGGCGGGCGTCACGCTTCGGGTCGTCACCGTCAGCACGGAGGGTCACGAGCGGACGCTGCCACACCGGCGCGACGGCCACCCCCACGCCCGCCTCCCACAACGGCACGCGACGCCTCCCGCTCCGAAGACCGGGCGGCGCACCGCCCCGCGTCACTGGCGTCGGCGGCCCGCCCCGTCTCACCAGGTAGGCCATGTTGAACTGGAAGTCGCAGGGGAACTGCTGCGTCAGCTGGTACACGCAGTCGAGCCACTGCAGGAAGACGGGGCAGCGCTCGTTCAGGTCCTCCGTGCAGACGCCCGAGCCGCAGCGGTCGGCGAACTTGTGGCCAAAGTCGAGCCACTCGCGCTCCAGCAGCGCCTGGAAGCCCTGCGCGGCCGGCACGCGGGCGTCAGTCGGACACGGGCGCGGGACGCCCGCTGCACTGCTCAGCGCCAGCCGCCGGGCCCGCCGCATCAATACGGCAGGGACAATGCCGACACGCTGGCAGGCGCTGGCCGTATTTAACGTGACCGCCGCTGTGTAGTTCGGCAACGTGCTACATTCGGACTGTGATATCAACTTGCAGGGAGCACAAAGACCCAACGGGTGCAGAGGGTGCAACGGGTGCCTGTGCAAAGAGCCAGCAATACATCATACGCTACCAAGGCACCATATCTATGGACAAGGCATTGCAAGCGATTACGTCAAACCACAGCCCTCAAAGTGTGTCCCGACTCTACCCAGCAAACCGCAAGCGCCTCTAACCCCTCAGGTCAGCGGCGCCTGGAACAGGCCGCGCCCGCCCGCAGCACACACGTACGTCGATGGTGCGGCAGTGCGGATCCATCATGATCTGGGCGAGTCCGGTGATCTGGGGCGTGCGGTCCCAGCCGTCGCTGCAGTGGACCAGCACCGGCCGGCCCTGCTCGTCCATGTGACGCACTACGCTGACGGCGGCTCGCAGCAGCGCGGACATGTGCGACAGCCACCGGGTGGCCTCCAGCGACTGGAACCAGCTGACGGGAGACACAGAGAGGTCAGAGCACAGACAGCCACCCGGTGGCCTACAGCGACTGGAACCAGCTGACGGGGGGACACAGAGAGAGGTCAGAGCACAGACAGCCACCGGGTGGCCTCCAGCGACTGGAACCAGCTGACGGGGGACATAGAGAGAGCTCAGCACAGACACGCGCAGCGAGACACGAACCTCACTCGCCCCCACACTGCGCAGCCCCTGGACGGCTATCGATGCCCTGACAGGAAACCGAGAACCATTTCGCACACGCACATGCTTCGTGCGCAAGGACACAATCACATCTGAAGGCCATCTGTGACATCACGGCACACGCCCCCCCCCCCTCCCCCCTCCCCCCCCCCCCCGCCGCCATACCCCTCGCAACCTCGCCCGCCCAGTCGGCCGTCTGCTCCGATCAGCTGCTCCCAGTCACCACGTCGGACCCCAGCGCCGTGGCACGTACTTGGAATGGTCGGTGGGCGCCGAGAGGAGCGCACGCAGCGCCTGGTACGACTTGCGCACGGCGTGGATGTTGGGCAGGTTCATGAAGACCACCTCGCTGTTGGGGTAGTACTCGTGGCATTCGACGCCGCCGCCGCGCGCCCGGTTCGCCACGGCGGCCGCGTAGCTGCGCGCGTCCACGATCACCACCTTCTGCAGGGAGGAGAACGAGGCGAGCGCTGTGACATCGGCGCCTTGAGGCGGGCAGATCGGAGAGGGTTGGTCAAGTAAGCGCACTGTTAAACAATCTCCCATCTGGCTGTGGTGCGGGCCTCTGGTCATACCTGTCTTTTAGTCCGAAATGATGCGATGACTGATGCACTCCGGTCATCGTCAAAGTACAGATCCGCTCACCTTCCAAGGCCCGTCATCGTCCCTTGAGCGCAGTGCCGAGTTCTGCGTAACTGGTTGACGCACCCCATATTCATTACGGCCCGCTCGAATCCAAACCTCACAAAGACACCATAAGCCTCGAACCAATGAACACCCACACCCACACCCACACCCACACCCACACCCACACACATGAAACCGCACCTCGTCCGCTACGCAACTCCCGTGCCTCGGGTTGGCTGAACGCCGCGCCCGGCCATCGCACTGACCTCGGTGTTCTTGAAGAGTAGCGCCTCCTCGGAAAGGTCGCGCAAGCTGGGCACGTCGCCGTTGGCGTGCGCGGCGGCCGGGTGCGCCGCCTCGGCCGCCAGCCGGTTGGCGGCGCACGCCTCACTGAGCGCCTTGACCAGCTCCTCGTCCTCGGCGGAGCGCCAGCCCAGCCAGCCCACCTCTGGCTGGCCGGAGCGCGCCAGCACGGCGCCCGTCCGGCCGTGTCTGGCGGCCGCGGCGCGCCGGGTCACACGCACGCGGCGGCGGAGCGCCCCCGCGTCACAGAAAGTCGATCACAGATCGCTACACACGGTCCAGAATGGGTCATTTACACTTTGAAGCAATGCCAAGTGCATGACTTGTGACTTCGTGTCCCAGTATTGTAATATCTCACGCAGATGATTACGCTGCGACACGAACCTCCAGACACCGGCCTGATGTACGACACCTCACTACACGGTCGGCCTCCGACAGTGCGCCGCGTGAGCGTCGCTCGCCCGGCTGGGTCACTGACCTCCAGCATACGGCCGGGACGCGCCGCAGCGCCCGGAACCTGGCCACCTTCTCCAGCATGTCGTCGCTGATCGACAACGGCACCAGGAGGTAGCGCGGGTACGACGGGCACAGCTTGTATTCCTGGTTGGCCGTGCTGATGCGCCAGGCAGCGCGCAGGTCGAAGCCCATCCGCTCCAGCTGGCGGGCGGGAGACAGGCTGCGGTTACCAAGTCCACCGACAGATGGCGGCGCGTCCGCAGGCAGCGCGCGCGGCCAGCAGCGGTGACCCCCGCCGCTGTCGCCGAGACCAGGACGAGCGGGTGCGGAAGTCGGCTCGACACAGCGCCGTAGCGCGTCCGCCCGCTCCAGGATCACACCACACGAACACTGGTCCCGCCAGAGGACGCAACGCTCCCTGGCCGGACCGCAGCGCCCTCTGCATCAACGGAACAGGCGGCGCTGGCAGCCCAGTTACGAACCCCTGCACGGAGCAGCATTCGTCATCACACCCTCTTATCCTCATCTTGCTTCATCTCGCCTCCTCGCGACGCCTCGCTTGTCCGGAGCAGGCTGCATGCGACAGCCACGAGTGGACCGAGAGGCCCCTGGACGGGGGACCGCGACCGGGCGCCCAGCGCATTGCCGGCAGAGGGGTCCTTGCGCCGGCTGAAACTCGGCGGTTGGCCCCCATGCGCATGCAGCCCTGCCCCACCGTTATCCATTTTCCTTCATCTCATAACCCTGAAGCGATCATTTCTGGTCGAAAGGGCTTTAATCTTAACAACTATACCAGCAACATTCGTGCCCGCTTCTGGCCGCTACTCTAATGCACACGCTTGCCAATTGTCAACACTATTACCTCCCAGGAACATTACCGTTAGGCACACGTTCCGCCCATCCGTTTATTACGTCCATACCTGTTACCGTCCATGGCGGTGGCATGGAGATAAAGCTATTTTTGTGCGACGTAATTACTCCGCATCTCACGACACATCCATCCCCACCGATGACCTACTGGGACCACCCAATATAGTCCCTGGCTTCCCCGGACCCCCTCCCCTCCCACCGATCCCGAAGGAAGGGGGCGGCGGTACAATCCTCCCGATATCGCGGCTGGCGCGACATCAGCACCACTGATACGGCGGCCGGACGACAGCGAGCCGCGACGGCCGGACGCGAGTCCTCGAGACGTCTGCCGCGCCCCGGGCCCGGCCCCGGCCGCGACAGACACTCGACCGGCGCCCGGCGCCCGGCCGGCGGCGGCGCCGCCGCTCCTCGTCCCGCCCGGTCCACGCCACGGCGCTCGGGCGGCCAGCGGCCCTATCGCGGTCGAGGCCCGCACAGTCTGACCGGCGCCGCCCCGGCGGCCGACGCCGAACCGCCGCGGAGGCGGTGCCGGCGGCGCGGGACAGCACAGGAAGCATCCCAAGTTGGCGCGCGATTTACCGGAGCAATCCTCAGACGACGCGCGGTTAGCCATGCGGACACCAATAAAGGCGGGGGCCTGAGACAAACTGTGACAATGACATTCCACAGTACGATGGACCTTGGCGAGGGGAAAAAAATCAGGCAGATTGGGCATTGGTATGGTGGGAGCAAAAAACAAGCGGCTAATTACAATGCAGGCTAATTTAAGCATACGGTAATAAACCATATAACAGTCTACATTCACGGCATTCAGATTTTTAGACATCACGAAAACGTGGCAACCCTGTATCGTCCCAACAACTTTCACTCCACCATGCACCCACCACGACCACAAGTATGAGTCACACTATCACCTCTTTACGTATCAGAACGGCAAACACGAGGGCCTCGCAGTGAAAGCACATGCCCCAATTCGAAGCAGGAAGCAAAACACCTGACGCGGCCAACCTGTCCTATAAATCGCATACCCCCAACCACAAAGGCGACAACGCACAGACTTCCTCGTATCCGTTACCGGCCCAATAGCATGGAGCCTTGGCAGCCGACAGGCACATGTCAATCATCAGGGCAGCCGGACACGAACAGAGCGAGCTGTCCAGTCCTCATGTTCATCCCGATGGCTGGGGATGGCTGGTTATCAGGCCGCTCTCCCCCAGCACAGCACAGCACAGCACAGCACAGCACAGCACAGCACAGCACAGCAAACACTGCCTCACAACTGAAGCGAGGCCCCTGCAAAGCAACCCCACAACAATCAACGCCACACAAGACTCCGCCGCAAAGCGTAACACCGTCCCGACGCCGAGCATCTGAGCGCATCCAATCCGCATCCGCGCGCATCAGTCAGCACGTGCGAAACAAAACCCCGCTCCAGCCTGGCTGCCGGCCCGGCGGCCGGCCGCGTCTGGCGCTCACCTCCGCCTTGTAGGCGGCCAGCTCGGAGCCGGCCGGCCGTCCAGCCAGCGAGACGAGCGTCGGGTGGAGGTCATCGCCGCTCTCCTCGTGGCACCAGGCGCGGAAAGCGTGGCTGAACGAGTCGAGCAGCCGCTCGGGGGGCGCCAGCGCGGCGCTCAGGTCCCGCTGCCAGCCGGCGCACGCCTCGCTCGTGGGCAGGGTCAGCCTGCCGCACACCAGGAGAGATACACATGTCAGCCGGACGACGGGACGCTTGTGGGCGACAAGAGACAGACACGCACACGGACCCGGACCCGGACACAGGCGGGGTCGCGTCGGTCGGCCCCACACGACGCGGGCCACGCCTGAGACACGCCAGTCGGCCGGAAACGGAGGGGCACGCGCGGCCATCTGTCAGACACGAATCCGGGGAAGCCAGTCCGTCGGACACGGATCAGGAGAGACCAGTCTGTCGGACACGGATCCGATGAAGCCAGTCTGTCGGACACGGATCTTGAGAAGCCAGTCCGTCGGGCACGGATCGGGAGAAGCCAGTCTGTCGGGACACGGATCAGGAGAGGCCAGTCTGTCGGGCACGGATCAGGAGAGGTCCGTCTGTCGAGCACGGATCAGGAGAGGCCAGTCCGACGGACACGGATCAGGAGAGGCCAGTCTGTCGGACACGGATCAGGAGAGGCTAGTCTGCCGAGCACGGATCAGGAGAGGCCAGTCCGTCGGACACGGATCAGGAGAAGCCAGCCTGTCGGACACGGGATCAGGAGAGGCCGGTCTCGCGGACTCTGCGCCACTCACGTCACACAGCGAGGTCGGATCAAGCCAGCCTTCCGGACGAGGAACAGACCACAGCACGCAACAACATCGCTGGGAAACACATCCGAGGTAAACGCGTGGAACATGACACGAGTCACCTGTCGGCTCCACCATGCGTCAGCCCGAGCGAGAGCGGCACCTGTGCCGTCTCGGTGTTGTCACTGGCGTGTAGCGGGAGAGTCGCACACGCCGCGTGACGTTTCGGTATTGTATTTGCCCGTGCGTTCCTGACACCCAGACGTCTGGGTACATGACGTAAACCCTGCATCCTTGGCTATTTGAGGACCGATGCGCGCGCCACGCCATGCAATGCTGATTACTGCACGGACGCCGGGGACTCTGGCGATTGATACCATAAAACCAGCATGCCCGGCCTGCCCTTCAGGGTGGCACTTTGGATATTGGCTTTAGGTCGAAACGAAATTAACGGCAGTAAAAGGGACTCGTGAAGTCCGCAACATTCACAAATTAAAGCCGGACAGAAATATTGGACCATACAAAGACTATGAAATAACGTTACCAGTGCAATGACATGCGCCGCCTACAAACTCGTGTTGGACCTGTAGCTAGCTGCACCCCAGCCTACCAATGTCCACAAGCAATTTCGCGCTCGACGTATCAAACACGATAGTGTCAGCCGACCACGCATGCAGAGCAAAAACCACGTTAACCCCCGCAGTAATATGCAACAGATCCCATTTTAGGTACAGCAGTGCAAAGCAAATCCCCTTTCCGTCAGCCAGTCGTGCTTCGTGTGCTGAACTCATGTCCTGTGGCGACAGGGGCAACCCCAGGCTACGCCGCGCTGAACCGGCGTGCTGTGCGACAGCGGCCACCCCCCGCCAGGCCGCGTTCCCGTTCGATGAGGCAAGCAGGGCGCCCACTGGACGCCACGGCAGCGCAGCGCGGCGCGCGGGCGCCGGCGGTCGGTCGGAATGCAACACAACGCCGAGCGCTGCGGCGGCATTCTCCGACGCCGGGCGGAACCGGTTTCAGGCCCGATGAATCAGACCGCTCAGGTCGGGCGGCCGGGCCGACAGCGGTGCAGCAACAGCTGCCGGCACTACGCGGTCTGCAGCCGAGTGGGCCGGACGTTCCGTACCGGCCCACCACCACGGCCCCGCGGGCTCCCTAGTGACGGCTTGCCAACCGGCCTGGCGCAGCTCCCTCCGAAAGCACTCTTGGCGCATTTATCCCCACCTCCACTAGCCAGCAGAGTCCAATACAGATAGCATACAGCGAGACAATCACTACTGTGGCAGCCCGTATCATATCGGCTCTCGTGTCCGTTCTGCGGCCTCCCTCGAGGCGTTTCCCCCTCCCCCATATCGCCCCTTGTGTTGGCCATTCTGGGGCCGCTTCGCCGAACGCGCCGCCGCCCCCAGCTGGCGCGGTCACCCGCCGACGCCGCCACCGGCCGGCGCGGTCACCCGCCGACGCCGCCCCGAGCCGGCACGGTCATCCGCCGACGCCGCCCCGAGCCGGCACAGTCATCCGCCGACGCCGCCACCAGCCGCCGCCATCCGCCCTGCAGACCGGCGCTGACGCAACGGCCGCCCCGGGCGAGGCTGCGCGGCCGCGCGACACACCGCTGCATGCCGAACAAGGACGCGGCGCTGCCCGCGCCCCACACGCGAGCCGCGGCTGGCGACGCGGCGCCCGGCCTGCGCCTGCCAGCCGCTCGCGACCGCGCGCTGGTCGCCGCGACCCGCGCACCACCGCGGCACCCGGGCTCAGCTCGCAGAACAAGACCCGCGGCGCTGGCAGTCCAGCCTATCGGGGGTCATCCTGTCGGGCCGAGCACGGCCAGAGCACACCCCCCCCCCCCCCCGAGCACGGCTGAACCCATCCCCCCCCCCCGGCCATCGGCCCACTCCCACAGCGCCACCGCACCTTGTACACCAATCGACTCTCAATCATCCGATATTGGCGGCGGCGGCGCGCGGGCGCCTTATACGGACGTATGGCTTCGATGGCGTAATGTAATGCGACCGGGCCGCCGCCGTATGTGGGTTGAGCGCCGTACTGCAGGGAGCAGCCCGCCGCTGCGGACGGCAGCACAATTTCGCTGCAGATAGCTGTTTCCGCCGTGTCCAAATGCGGAGATACACGGGCGCGCGACCGCGTCGGCGACCGGTCCGACTGGGGCGGGCAGTTACCATGCGGCTGGCGGCCAGCAACGACCAAACTCGCCCCCGGTCAAGTCTTCCGAGACATCTCACCAGTCCGCAGACTTGGGCTTTAACCCCTACTACTACCGCTAACCACTGAACCACTGATCTTTGACAGGGCGACACGGCAACGACGCCTCCGTTACCCCACCGTCGGTATTTCATCCCCCGCTCGATCCACGTCGCGCACAGGGGCGGCTCACGAGCGGTCGGATCGCTCCGAAAATCCCGAAGGCGTCGGTGCCGCGGCCGGGAGGCAGACCGGCACACAACTCTCTGCACAGCCCTCCCGCTATCAGGCCAAAAATCGCAGCGCCGCGAGAAGCAACGGTCCGCTGGCATTGCGTAACCCAACCAGTTACGTCCGTCCATAAACAATCCGAGAATGACAGCAAACAACACCGGTTCCGACAGTTCGCGCCACCAGCAAGACAGCAGCCTTGCTCGCCATCAGCGGCGCTTGGCCGCTCAGTGGGGCCACGGCGGCGGCGCGGCCCCTGCTCACCTGAACGACCTGGCGTCCTTGCACTGCACGTGCAGGTAGAATATGTCGCGGCACTCGACCGTCTCGAGCAGGCCCAGCGGCACGTTCAGCAGACCCCGTGCCGTGTCTGCCTGCAGGTACAGCCGGTAGTTGGTCAAGTAGAGACGCCCCTCCTCCACGTGGCCGGCGCGGCCCACGTACTCGCCGTGCAGCAGCCGGAACGGTGCCGGCAGCAGCGCGGCCGCCTCGGCCGTCTCGGCGCCGCCGCGGTCCGTGATGCAGCCCTGCTTCGGGTACTGCTGCTGGCAAGCGCGGTGCGGCGGCGGCGGCGGCGGTGGCGTCTCCGCCGGCCGCGGCGGTCGCTCCGGCGGCGGCGGCGGCGGCGGTGGGGGAGGCGGCGGCGGAGGTGGCGGTGGCGGCGGCACAGATGAGGGAGCGTCCTCGCCCGTCAGCTGCGACATCTCCAGCTCCAGCGACGACTGCTCCTCCGGCTCCATCGTCTGTGGGGGGGAGACGCCCGTCACATGCACGCCCGACAGGACACTCTGCCACGCATCAGCTCCGAATGTCACCGCAAAAACCAGCTGTCACGGCTGAACAAAAACAAAATCGGCTATGTCACGCAGGATAATTCTGGGCGACCCGACTAGTCACACGGGAAATAATGGCAAACCGAACATTTGCGTCCCTGCACACGCCAAGGGCACACTAAATGGCCTTCATGAAAGAACCGTGTACAAATAAAGCCAACGTTCACCCAAACGAAGCAAATACCCACCACGGGACGATCAAACAAACTCGAAAGCCTCTTGGCGCAAACACCGGCGGGGCGCGGACAAACGCGGCGCGGGACCCCACGGCCTACGAATCGCACAGGAGCGCGCGGTGCAGTGCGTCCGACAGCGCGGTCGGCAGTGGACCGGCGTCAGGTGCGCACCCTGTCGTCAAAACAGCCATGTTTGGCCGCCCAGAGCCGCGGCCTTGGGCCACTCCCGCGCAAAGGGGCCGCCGGCCGAGGCGCGCACTCGTGTCACGTGTGCCACAGCCGGGGGCGCTCAAAGGGTGAACCGGGCCCGGCCGGCTGGGCACGCGCGCGGTGAAAACCCCGCGCCAAGCGCTCTGAAAGGGAGCACCCTGCTTGCCGGGAGCCGCGCCGGGCACAGTCCGCTGACTGACAGCAGGGGTTTCGTCGAGAGGGAGGGTTGCCAGTCTGAGCGCTGACGTGGGGCCCGGCCCCAGACCGCGGCCGGCCTCGTCGGCAGGCGGGCACGCCGCGCAAACAGTGGGGCGGCACGGCGGTACCTGGCCGCGACAAAGTCACAACAAAAACAGCCACGCGATATCTGATCGGCATTATCGCCGGCGAGATAGCCACGGGGCAGGGCCTCGCCGCCGCCGCCTGTCACGCGTACTGCCTCCCGGGTCTGCCCACTCTTGACGAGCCCTCTGGATCGAATTGCTTCTTCCATCGCCTCACACACGCCCTTCGACAGATGACAGGCACAGTCAAGCCGCATGAGCTGTCGACGTTTCGCTAGCGCCGCTGAGTAACGGCACCTACACGTGCGCCGTGTGGCAGCTGCCGGCCAATTTTCCTGACGTGTGTCAGCACTCTGGCGGCAAAGCCGGATTGCATCAGGGTGCGCAAATACGTCAGCCCTGAGCACTGCTGGGAAGTGGGCAAGTACGTGCGGTCATGTAATGAAAAGGAGCGCGACGTCCGTGGATGCATTGCATTCATGCATGAAAACAAGGTGGGGACGACGGCAATTTAATATTTCAGGAGTTTGTATGCATAAGCTGGTCCAAATCATGTTCCATATGCATAAAGGAGAGATGCGATCAGGTATGGACGTTAGTATTCAGAACCTGTTTGTGTCATAACTGCGGGATGGCCTGCAACGTGGTGTGATTGGTCGGATTACCGTGTTCGTGACCATAGCATCAGCTCATACATCATCTACTACCAGCAACAATGGACACCACTCCCACCACACCACACACAACCCCCTCCCCCGCCCCCGCGAGCGTGACACCGCCGCCGGTCAGACGCTCCGTCTGGCGCGCTCCGTGCGGCCGCTCCGCACCGCAGCTGCCCGACCGGCCGTGACGCGCGCCGGAGCTGGCGGCGTCGCGGCACAGCCCTGGCGTCCGTCATTGGCCGGCGGCGTGCTCACTCAGTGCGTCAACACGGCGGGATGCAGAGAGGAGTCCGCCGCCGGAGCTGTGCGGCGCCGAGGGGGCGGGCCCCGCGACGTGGCGGGACGCGACGGGGATGCGCGTCTGGTTGGCCGAACGTCACGGAAAGCGTTCTGCGCGTGCGGCCGATACGGTCCGACTGCCACCAGAACGGTGGCACGACGGCGCTCCTTCAGCCACGACTCTTGCAGAGGCGCCGCGGCTGTCACCACCACATGTTTCACAGTTCCAACCAGAAGACATAACGGTTATTTTAAGTATCAGCGATGTTAGTAAACATAACGGCGTCAGTTTTCACAAGGAATCCCAGCTGCAGGCCTGCAGAGTGCGGTGGCCGAGCCCCTCCCCTGCCACTCGTTATCTGTCCCGGCGGCGCCGGATGGACCCCGTTATCGACAGGAAGGTCCTGCACGGGCGCCCGAGAGCCACGACCGGTCCAATAGCGAGGCGCAGAGCCGCCGAGCCGCCCCCAGCCACCAGCGCTTCCGAACTCCGGCCGGCACACCCCCACAGCTCGCCCCACCGCCGCAACGAGCCCTGGCATTGAGCCATGGCCCAGTCCCGACGGCAGCAGCCGCATCAGCAGAGCGACGCCGCTCCCGTCCAAGCCCATTCAGCGGCCCAGCAGCCGGCGACACTGGGCGCGTCTGGCCAGTTATCGACGCTCGCGCTCGCCCCTGACCCCAGCCGCACCCTTCCGCGCGCCACAGCCCGACCCCAGAGCCGACGACGGCGCCGGCGTGCCGCAGTGCCGCCACGCTTCCGGCCGGCGCCGCAGCGGCGCGCGCCCGACCGCATGACCTTCCGCGCCCTCGCAACTCGCCGCCGCCACCAGTCCGGACATCTTAATATCGGTGGGAGTGCGAGTGGCGGCGGCGGCGTCCACGACCACAACAACCGGCCGCCGCCGCCGGCGCGGTGCCGCCGCCGGCCGGCACCACAGCCAGCCCGAACGACCGGTGACAGCCGGCCCGGCCGGCCGTCGACACCACCACAGGCGGACCGCAGCCGGCGGCAGCGCCGACCGACCAGCCGTTCGCGTCTCGCCCGTCGCCGGCGGCGGCGAGCGCTAACTGCGTCGAACGCCACACCGGCGGCGGCGCGTCGCCGCCCAATCCGGCCTTGAACCGGGCGGCAGGCACATTTTTTGCCGTCTTCGCACGGCAACAGTCTGGGCACGGGCGCCGAGCGCCGGTGGAAGGTTACCGACGACACGCTCGGCGCGAGTGTTGCGCCACCGCGTCTGAGTGGCGCGCTCAAAGGCTTGCGATTGCGACGTCACGTCGGGTCATGGTTACCTGGCCGCGCGACGCTCTTGCCGAGAACAACAGGGACCGTCTCACTCGAGGTCCCCACGAGAATGCGTTGACTCGTGCGCGACGCGTCGCCGTCGGCGCGGTCGACAACCCGCACCGTCGGATGACCAAACACGACTTGCTCCGGCCCCGCTCAGCGGTTCTCCTCTGCCGGGTTTGCGCGCCAGCAGCCCGTCCACCAGCGGTCGCCTCCGCCCGCCGCCGCGCAAAGGTCACCAGCTGGATCACCGGCCCACCTGACCGCCCGCCCCGCCCGCCGCCGGCGTCGGCGGCCGCAGCTCGTTGCGCGCGCGGTCGATGCATTGACCAGCTCCGGTCGGTCGGAAGCCCGCCGGCGCAGCTCGCCGTACGGCGGCGAGGCGGCGCGCGCGCCCCACCGGTCGTGCCGACTCGCAGCTCGTCCCGGCCGGCGGCGGCAGCGCGCCGGCCCAAGGTCAGACGGCTGTCTGAAGGTCGGCGGGACGGCCGACGGTGCCGGCGCAGCGGCGCAGCGACGCCCGCCGCCGCCGCAGCCACGCTGGCCGCGGTCCCGGCCGGCCGCGACCACGCCCACCCAACCGCGACGCGGCCCTGCGACACGCCCGACATTCCCGCCCGGGGCGCCGAGCCACTAGACCGAGTCGAGCTGGATCGAACAGTCCTCCGTTTGGACAACCGGCATCAGCGGCCGCAAACTGCTCCGACACACCCACATGTACGTCATCACCTTCGCCGGTGATGCATACCAGGCGCGACACCGCCCGCGGAAGGACAGGCACGCCCCGGCGTCGGTGCAAGCGCCCCAAGCGCCAAGGGCGTCACTGTGTGTATTAACCGTATCCCAGCGACTGGGCCGCGGCGAGCGTGGGTGCGTACGTCGAGCGAGCGAGCGCGCTCGCTCGCTCATACACACACGCCCTGACACACCCTCACACATCGATGTCGGCTGCACGCCATCAATAGCCGAGCCCGGGCCGGCGCTGCCGGCGGTCGCCAGCTTGTACGCTGTGCACGGCCTGAGCCCACGCGGGGCTATTTCCACCGGCGGCGGCGGCGGCGGCCGTCCAGGATCAGCTGCGCCCGGCCCGGCGGCCCATCGATTTTACACATGTGCACCCGGCCGCCGTTCAGCCGTCGACGCCGGTCACTCGGGCGGCTCTGAGCGCAGGCCGGACTGGGTCACCAGACGGACGCGCCATCAGTGATGTAATGACGCCTTGTCGACCTCGTTTTGTATTGATCCCTTCGCGTCGCGGGTGGGGCGCGAGCGATGGCGGAGGACCGGCTCCATGTTTCAGAATTACGTCTTCCTTTCAGACTGTTGACTCCACGGCGGGTTACACGCCCAGCTGCATAAAAGACTTTGACCCCAGGCGGCAGCCGTGACCCGATGTGCCTTTCCCTGCCCGACCCGTGAGAGGCGCGCTATCAAATGGGGTTAGCGTGCTAGGATCCCGGCCCGCCGCCCGAGCCGGCACTCCACTCCAGGTCAGCGCACTGTGCCGCGGACGCCCTGCGGTGGCGGTGCTGCAGTCGTGTCACGCACCTCAGGTTTTGCCCGAGCAGCGGCGACCCAGACAGTCTCTCGGGACGGCGACAGAGTACTGCACCGTGCCACAGACTCCCACAGCGCATACCAAACAGCAGCCGCAGCATCTACGCCTCGTATCAACAGCGCCGGGAGCATGCACCATCCGCCTGAGAGCGGCGGCCGGGGGCCCGTGCATCGGCTGCGGACGGCGCGGCGGCCGGACCGACCACGCCCTGTCGCATGAGGCGGCGGCATCACACGGCGGAGGCCGCCGCCACACGACACGCAGACGGCAGGCCGGCCGGCCGACAGCGAACTCAGACCAGACCCGTGGTCTGGAGGCCACGCCCGCCCGACCAGCCTTCTTGGCGACAGCCCCAACCAGCCGAACCGTTGGTGAAGGCTCCTCCTTCTCGCTTACAATACGACACACCGGCTGTCGTGGCGTTCAAACCTGGCCAGACGCGTCGACAGTGCCATACCGACCGCCTCAGCGTCGCCAGCCAACGCCAGTGGACCTGTCTGGCAGTCTACTATAGACCCGTTGTCAGCATGCCACCCCGCGCGACAGCCGGCCAGGCGCGCCGCCGCCGACGCGGCCCGCTGGCAGCGCCGCCACGCATCCCCCTGCGCAGCGGCCGCCCACTTGCCGAGAGGAAGTACGAGATGCGCAGATAGTCGTACATGGCTCCTTGCGCCGTCTGGTCCTGTTCGGTGACGGCACGATCGCCGCTGTCACCGTGCGGTCACTGGCCGGGCGGGCAGGCGGCGGCGGCGGAGCGCGGCCCGGCGGCGCGCACGGCTCGCGTGCGGCGCGCGGACTGGCCGCCGCCCGCGCGGCGCCGCGGCCCGCCGGCCCGCTCGCCTGACGTGCGGGGGCCCCCGCGCCGACCGGCACCGCAGCCGGCCGCCGCCGCACGGCTATCGGGTGGTGCACAGGGCGGCCCGGCCTCGCCGCGTACGACGCACGCGGCGACGGCGGCCCGGTGGCAGACAGTGCAGCGGCGCAGCGAGCAGTTGGGGACCACGTGTCACCGACGTCGCTAATATACGAGAGAATACGTGCGTTTCTGTAGTGGATGCGTGATAGCAGCGCGTGTTAGCATGCGTGCGTGCTTGCGTGCGTTCCTGCGTGTAGCGAAGTGAAACCATGTAACGACATAGTTGAGGGTAATGGCCGTCTACCGCAAAACAAATAATACTAACAGCCAGAACGGGACGTCACCAGGCACTACACCGTTTGTGCGAACGACCTTGAAAAGTGACCTTTAAATACAGACGTCCGGCTGTTGGTTGGACGTGTTTACTCTTCGTCTCAGGGACATTCACGTCATGAGACCCGCAAAACAGCAACAACAAATAAAGAACAGCCTTCGTTTTTGTTGCAGCGGGTCTCTTATAGAGCCTTTCATGGTGGCGTTCACGACGGGTACTGGGATGCCGTTCCCCATACCTAAATCCGCTTCATCACAGGCAGAGCACCTTTCCCGTCATAAAGATCTGATCAATCCACCTTTCCCGTGCCAAACGAGCCTGGCGCCGCGCTCACCAGCGGCCATCACTCGCCACCTCTCTGCCCCGCGCGGTGCCGCGGCCAGGCAGCGGGCAGCACCCGTTCGACGGCCGGCCCCGAGCGCCCTGGCGTCACCGGAGCCGCCGATTCCGGCGCCGCACGGAGGGTGGCACGGACCGCAGCGCCGACGGCCGCCCGCCCGGCCGCCCACCCGGCCGGCCAGCCGGCCTTTCACCGCCAGATAGCTGAGTCGGACGCCCCGGTTAGCGGCCGAGGAGTCCTGCCAGCCGGCGCGCTGGGACTCTCGTAGCGAGCGCAAGTGCTCAGTCGGAGAACACGGCACTCGCTGACAGACTTTGCGATCAGTCAAACGTTCTGCTTGTCATCAAACCAGTTATGTTTACAGATATCGCAATGTCCATCTTCTACTTTACAGGAAAACGACAGGATAATATGCAAAAATACACCTCTTTGACAAGTTAAGAAACACGCAGCATGTATAATGCCTCATACGCATAAATCAGACTTTAAATATGATGTTCTAACAGACCTGTCATTTGTTTAAGCCGTTGGTAAAGATAAGCCCACTAGGTTTCCCGAGCCTCGTTAAAAACCGCACTTCTCTGACATTTGCACTCCAACCAGGTGTTTGGTCAACCACCACCTGCCAATAACAGCGGGCGGGGCACGGGGCTCGTGCATAACAAATCCTTCGTTGGATTAGGTCCAGACAGTGCTGGGCCAACGCATCTGGAGATTTTCAGAGGAACAGAGCTAAATGCGACAGCGCCAATCGCCGCCGGACTGCCGTGACTATCAAACCTTTGTTACAAATCGATGGGTCTGGTACCGATAACTTAAACAGGGAACGCATATGCGCGCTGATAAACCTCCTGAAGCCGAAACATTTAACCATGAACGGAACTTTTCTGCCGAAGCTATTAGCATCACAGTAACCTGGACCCGCGCATCAAGCCCCGCTTTAGAGACGGCATGGTCATCAAAATGCACCACATGAGCGTTCCTAAAGTAGTTACTAGTATCGAATCACACACAAATATGTCAAAGCCAAAGTTCAACCCCAAAGTTAGTGCTTGAAGGATGACGACGTTATTGATCGGTTGTCCAAGGAGTGCATCAATGTCTGACGCAGAGGTACTGACGTTACCCTCATTGGAAATCGACAAGTTGAGCCGTCACCACCAAACGCCATCAACCTTCCGTCATTTTTTTTTTACCGGAATGACGATCACTTGCGCTAAAAATACCGCAGGTGATGAATTTAAACTGACAGTAATCTTGATCATTCAATAAAATGGTCATCAAACAGTTTGGAATTTCATGGTGACCACACATCGTACCGTTCCATCACGTCAGAGGTCCATTGCTGGCTTTAATCTTTAAAACTCCAATCACAAATCTACGGAGGCATAATGCAAAAATTCAACTAGCATATGGTCGCCTTATCTGCATGACACATGCTACGTGATCGTGAATCGAAGCTCTGCATGACTGACGTCCAGCTACAACCCGGATATTTTAGTCCGGACATTTCAGCTCAAAGTCCCAAACAACGGTAGACAGCATTCCTCTGAGCACAATAGCCGCGCGTCGTCAGCGAGACTTGGGCCCGAGCCCGAGTGACGAGCTCTTCCATGGGGTTTCACAGACCTGCCACAGCGGCATAACAGGGTCGTCCGGCGGCGGCGGACCCATGCGCTCTGTTTACACATACCGGGCACACTATATACACAGATCCGCCTTCGTCGCTAGACGCATGGCAAAAACGACACAAACGGCTCGGCGTTGCGAAGTACGGGACGACGTGGTGCCGTGTCACATCAAAGTACGGGACGACGTGGTGCCGTGTCACATCAAACTACGGGACGACGTGGTGCCGTGTCACATCAAAGTACGGGACGACGTGGTGCCGTGTCACATCAAAGTACGGGACGACGTGGAGCCGTGTCACATCAAAGTACGGGACGACGTGGTCAAACTACGGGACGACGTGGTGCCGTGTCACATCAAAGTACGGGACGACGTGGTGCCGTGTCACATCAAAGTACGGGACGACGTGGAGCCGTGTCACATCAAAGTACGGGACGACGTGGTGCCGTGTCACATCAGAGCAAATACTTCCAGTATGCGTATGGTCTTGCGCCCCGGCATAGCTAGAATGAACCTGGTAATTGCTGGAGATCGTGAAAAATGGATGGCGTACCAAGACTGTAATCTACTGTGTACCCACCAAAAGCCTATTTACAGAGACTGAGGTCAAATTTCCTTCTCCACCCGCCATTAGGACTGTCAACGTAGGCGAGGTGCGCGGCAGGGCAGGCGGGGTGACATTATGGGCCGTTGTTAACCCAAATGATCCCTTCTCACCCGGAAGTACCTGGAAAGACAGGCCGCGTTTCGAAATGTTCGGGCCCACGCGTAGATCTGCATCAAGAAACCAAAGACACGGACGCCCTGTCATAGGATACTACTCGCAAAACAGTTATCATGGCGTATAGAATGTGTGAAGACATTACGGCATGCATATTACGCATAACCCAATGACGCTACGTGGTTTTCTTTTTTTGCCACTGGTTGCACTGTTTGACAACACCAATAATGAGAAATTGTTACTGGAGCACTTCTCGTGACTTGTACCACACTTATCCGCGCAAGCCAACGTGAGCAATCCCTATGAATGGTGTGCATCTGGTCATCATCATCAGACCATGATTCAAAACACATCTCGCAGACCCATCCCAAATGCGCTGCTGGAATGGCATTCCGTACCCGAGAGCGACATGACAACTGAGCCCTGTCGACTGTGTCAGGTGCACCAATGACTGGCACCTCTGAATAATGCGCGGCGTGCCGTGAGCCAGTCATCCATGACTGAAGCCGGGGTGGCCTCTGAAAGCTGTCAGCAGGAGTTTAAGGTCGGGAGCGGGCTGGGCCGGCGCGCCCCTGAGCCAGGTCAGATCGACTGTGACGTGGTCTGCAGCTGCCAGTAGACGACACGCGAGGTTTGAATGGTGTCAGCCGCACCCATAGAACATCAGGAGACGTCAGTGAAAGACGCGACCTATCCCAGGCATTCGCAGTCGCGAACGGCATCGGATACCATGGGAAAGATAGCACGCAGCTCGTCCAGAAACTGAAATCCTGGAGTTCGCCGCAGCCTGTGACAACACTGTTCGCCGTGTCAGGTGACAACAGTCACGGGTGTGACCTGTGACAACTGCCCGCTGTGTCAGGCGCCGGGCAATGCCAGCGCGGTCCGTGACCAGCGGCGGGCGGCGCTCCGTCGCCCGTTCAGCTCGGGACGTGTCAACAAACAGCAGCGGCAGCTCCCGCCCGACCACGCAAAAACAGCCGCGCCGGGCGCCGCCCCTGCCCGGGCGGCCGCCACCCGCCGCCGTACACCCCGGCACCGGCGGCAGCTCGGCGGCCAGGAGGCACGCGGGTCGCCGGCGCGCGGTGCTCCGCGACCATTCAGGGGCTGCCACGTGCTGGGAAGCGGAGTCCGCTCCAGTAACCGGGCAGCAGGGCTACAGGGGTCGCCCACAGTGGACTGGGCTGAATGTGCTTCAATAATCCCAATGCTTCAGGACAGGAATGTCCATGGACAGCTGCAGTGTTAGTGGTATACCAAGGACAAAATTTTTGTTTGGATAGGTGGGGTCCCATTTCAGATTCCTTGTTTGAATGCATGCTAATGGTTTCCATTTCATGAGGAACCAACAGTTGTTTTTTCTCATAACCGTCCACTACCATGTCTGACTTCTGACCATGCCTGTAATTGGCCCGTAAATGACTTCAGGACAACTGTAATATCAAAAACATTTCCAGTGCTGCTTGCTGAACCTCAATGCAGCTTCAACTCAGGCTGCCCTTGCACACTTCATGATGGTTGCACACTCCATGGCATTCAGAGGTAGCATGGTAAAGAAAAGTGCCCTTTATTTATTCTCAAACAAGCTGATGTAAAACTTTCCTGCTACAAAATATTACTTTAAACAGTGAAATATTACAAAGCCCATGACTGAGCTACAGCAGTCTGGCAAATATTACAATGTCCTGCACAAGTAAGCATATAGGCACCTCATAACTTGTAAATGCATGGTACACCATTCAGCTCATAGCTTAAGTGGAGGTACACCCATGCACATGTGCAAACACCATTTTGGCCAAAACTTCTGAAATACAGTCAAATGAAGCCCACTTCTTGTCAAATTTATCAGATGATATCAGCTCTGATTTAGGAGCTGGGACAGAAGCAGCCAGAGCAGGCACCACAGTGATCAGCCCAGGTACCTGTAGAAGTGAGGCATCAAGCACACTCAGAGATACTCATTTGTTAGATACTGGTGATTCAGGACACAATGGCTGCTGAGGCCATTTTGTACTCCACTCAGATGCTCTCAGTGTCCAGGAGATGCCAATGCTGCACCACAGATGCTAAATGGCAGAAATGGCCACTGTGCTCTAGCTGTCACATGCAGCATATCTCTGTGAGCTCAGGAGTTTGCTGCAAGAACAAGTGCAAATGTAGCAAGAAGCACTAGCAGAATACCCACAAACCTCAGGTCAGGAGGTTTGTGAGGAAGTACTTGCCCTACCATCAAGCAGTCAGCTTACACTACATGGAATGTTTTCCCTTCCCATGTGGTCTTTGCAGCATCAGTAACTCAGTTTGAGCCCAGTCTCCAGTCTCTGTGGACCTACCTTATCTGCCATATATTTTGATAACAATAGACAATATGTGGATGTCAGCTTGAAGACAATAAGCTTGAAATGCACAGTATATGTTTTGCAAATCCTGACTTCTTTCTGGTAAGGTTTGACAGCATAACATTAGTCTGCTGATAGCCTTACTCCCAGGTAGCAGTGACATGGCACTTTAATTTTTAAAAATAGATATGAATCATAATCCAAATTGATCAGTAAAGGCTTTATAAAAACAGAATTTTAATTGGCTAAAGCAATATTTCCAGATTAATTGTATGGTGCAATTTTGCATAACTGTAAATTGTACTGACAAATTTATACATGTGCTGAAAGATGCTCAAGAAATGCACTGGAACAAATTAATAGAAAAGCAATAATAAACAGGGCTCATGACTAATAAACAGGCCTCAAAATTTACAAATTTAGATGCAGTATTACTACCTTTCAGGTGAAAATCTCAGTATTTTTCTTATGAGCAGCTGTGGCCCATTTTGCTTTTGAGTTTTTAGTTGTTTTAGAGCCTTTAGTGTGGTGCATTGATAACTACTCCTGACAAATATGTGAAACTTGTTTGAATTAATTATTTACCAGAGCATTTTTGAAGAAACTCATACTATTTAGCCTATGCTCGCCAATGGACTTATCCAAGGCATGTAAAGCACAAACTGGGAAAACCACATCAAATGTGACAATACATTGCTCAGCAGTTCAATTTTTGGCAAATTTCAGAATTTTCTACAGCTTTGCAAGTGACATATTAAACAAAACCCCATTTTAAATCGGGCCCAGCTCAAACCCTGAAGTAAAAGTAAATGCAGTACATGGAAAGTGGTGTACAGCTGAGGGAAGGCCAGTGGGGGAGGAAAACTTACGAAACAAGCATCACCAAAACGGGGACATCGGCCCCCCTTCGTGATGTAAGAATGCCATAAAACTGCTGACTGGCAAATTATCCCTTCTTTCGGCATCACAATATTAAGAACGAGGTAGGCAAGCGCCGTACCACATGTAATCAAAGCACGGTTACAAACATGGCGCACAAAAACTTTCCTGTTATTCAATGTCATTCCGTGAAATCGATCCATTCCCAATTTCCTGGCTTGCACAAGTGAAACCCACCTGCCGATGCTGCGGATGTTTTCCTGTCCTCCGAACACGAGGAATGCAACTTCGCCCACCGAGTCAATCTGTTTTGTTTATATCCGTCACACACAACCAGACCAAACCCCTGCGTTGAAAGCAATGGCCGACACAATAACAAGGTCACGTGATCGAGAACTGACATCTAGCGAGAGAAACTAAACGTTGTCTTTTTACATGTTTCATAGATGGCACACATCGCGATGCTATTGAACTGGCAGTGCAATTCTGCCTCGCCTTGGAATATCATTACCGCCGTTATGATCACCGACTGTTAATCGACGTATAGAAAAGTTGGGATTATGTTGCGTGCATACTTATTATCGGTGGCGTTTATGAAATTCAAGCCCATATTCTACAAGAGGGCAAGGTTGACTGTCAAACATGACTTCCGAATGCGAACAAGGCAAGAATTTAGTATACTATTGCCTGTACTCATTTGCAATTCAAAGAATGACAAGATCCTCCGTCCAGCCCCAATGGTTTAAGAGAGTCTTTTTCCTGGGACGCATGATGCATGACTCCAGCGAATTCGAGCTTGAGACACGTTGCCTTCGATTTTTTGGTGATCACTCTTTGATTGGCAACTAACCGTTCCCTGCACAGTATCAATGAGGGACCCAAAGGATAAATATCGGATCATCAAAGAAATCCATTGTTGTTTGCTTCACTCGAAACTTATAATTTTCCGCTACCTGAGAGGACCGCTTACCATTTCTTCTCATAATCAGTAGGGGTAACGATTACCACAATAACGCTGTCATTAACCATCCAACAGCCCAGACGTAGCACACCGTACCCACACGCTGTCCGGCAGTATGCCGTTGTCCGTACTCATTCGCATTTCAGAGGATGATAATATCCTTCGCCCAGGCCCAAGGGTTGGCGACAGCTTTTTTCCTGGGTTGCACGATACATGACTTCAGCGAATTCCAGCTTAAGACACGCTGCTTTCGATTTCCCGGTGATCACTCCCAGACTAGCAATGTGACGACTTCGGTTGATCCACTCATCCGATTTCACGTCCGATCACTGCAGTACCAGGCTCGCATGGTGCCGGCCTTTCACTTCATCCCAGTGAAAATGAAACCTGACCTGACACGGACCTCCGAACGCAATGACTCATACCCAACTCGTGGATGCTGCGGCATTTTTCACGGCTTCGTGACTAGTCAGTGAAGACACGCAAAACGACCATAAAGCATGCCTACGGGACTAAACAGTGCATGAAATTGCCTTGTAACCGATTTAAATGTAACAAACACGTTGCCACTTTATATAGATATAACTTTATTATACAGAACCATTATTACAAAGCTGTAGATGAGCTTCTAGTTCTTCGAGGAACATCTGAACAAGGTTGCTTTACTTGGTATCCCGATGCATGATTGTAAGGCCAAATGAGAAAATGCAATCTACAAAATTGGCATCCGCAAACGACCGTTTTTCGTCTCGCTGACGACAACCGAAAAAGCATGGCTCCGCGCAAGCAAACGCCGATAGTGCTGTTGCAAAAGACGGAGGTGTATCACAGGCACCTGCACAACGTATCCATAGTCCCCTAATCTTCACCGTCGCGCGGACATCACGCGGAAGTCGGGGGAGGGGAGGGGGCGTGGCGCGCGCGGGCATTGTGGTGGCCACACCTCGACACCCCAGGAGTTCGCACGCACGCCGGGCAGGCGCCCCGTGCGGGAGCCCGCACCCCCAGATCGCCAGATCCGCCGCGCCGCCGTGAGGCGGCCCTTCAGCGGGTGCGACGGACACGCGGGCCCGAGCGAGCGCGGCGTCCGGGTGCGCGCGGGGCACGGCTGCCGGGCTCGCCGGCCGCGCCGTCCCGGGCGAGCGGGCCGCGGGCGCGCGCGGGTGCAGGGCGTCACACCGGCGGTACACTACGTCGACACGATATCCCCCACGCCGAGGCCGGGCGCAGCAGACCACGCGGCGCGCACGGAGAGCGCGCGTCGCCCGAATACAGACCTCGCCATGCTCGCTATGTTATACGACTAATTTCGCCGCGCGCACCTCTACACGTAAAGCTAGACTGAGTGAAGGTACAAGTCCGATTTCCCACGTTAAGCATCTGACGCGTCGGCGGCCGGCGCATGCGTCGTACGTCGAACGTCGTCGGTCGGGGGGGGGGGGGGGGGCGCCACCTTGTCCTCCACTAGCATCCGCACGTGTCAGCCTTGTTCTTGTTGTCGTTGGTGAGCCGGATCTGGTCGGGGAACTCATTGTAGAGCTCCACCTCCGACTCTTGCGCGAGCGCGTTCTTAGCGATCGTCTGGAAGGCCTGCTCGACGTTGATGGCCTCCTTGGCGCTGGTCTCGAAGTAGGGGATCTCGTTCTTGCTGTGGCACCATTGCTGCGCCCGCTTGGTCGGCACCTGTCGCGTCACACCGCGCACGGCGGGTCAGACCTGGCTCCGGTAACACACCTCCCACTGGCCGACAGATCGTGACACCTGCGCCAGCTGACTGACGCCACACAAACACTGAAAGAACGCCAATGAACGCAGAGAACTGGTCTAGTCGTACGCGGGCATACCGGTACCGGCATGTTGAACCAGAACGGCGAGGTATACAGACATCTCACGAGAACGGCAGCCCAAAACAGCTTTCTCTCAGCTTCCTCGGATTGCAGGAAACAAATGCAGATAAAAAGACCTCTCGATGGCACAAGAACGTGCAAACTCTATACAGCAACATGATACAATACGGGAGATTCATGGGTGGGTGCTGCGTGATCGGCGCTGGTTTTCTCCTGCAAGACGGGGAAGCCCCACCCAAGGTCATGTCACGGATTCCATAACGGGTTTAGGAGCCGCGAACCCGTCGGGCTGCAGTTACACATCGCACAATATAGCCGTAACCGCCGTGAACAACAATGTTACGACCAACCGGATCCGGCGAACTACAATGGATGCTGATCTCCGAGATCGGCATTCATACTCGGCACAGCCCAATTCAAGTAAGCCTGCACAAAACTCAACACATCTTGGAAGCTGCTAAGCATGTGACAATGACGTAGAACCTGCTCGGCCAGCTTCCCAAAGTGAGATAGAAGTCTAACAGCCATGTAAGCAACAGTTCTTGACAACCGCGTATTATCCCCAACAATGAGTGGCATCTCCGCACGTGTCTCCAAAGGATCAACAGCGCAAAGGCAAAACCCTAGCTTATTTACCATTACGTTACATTGCCCCAGACGTCAGTCGGGCAACGCGGCGCGCAGTCTCTATTCCCCCCGCCAGTCTCCACGGCCGGCGTTTCATGCAGTTCGGAGCCTGATTCGCCGACAGTCGTCTTCTCGCGCGGCCGGAAATGCAGACGCGTCGCGGGAATCCCCGTCAGTACCCTAGCCCCACCGGCCGCCGCGGCGAGCCACGTGCCTGTATCCCAGCATGATGGGCCGGCCGACTCACTGTGACTCACGTGCACGTGACCACACCGCCGCAAACCCCTCCGCCAGCGAGCCGGCACGGCGAGGCCTGCCGGCCGACGGGCCAACCAAACAGAAAACCGGCCCGCGTGCTGGCCAACAGAATAGCCCGGCAGGCGGACAGAAGCAAACAGATCTCCAGCGCACAGCCATGGGCGGACCGACGGGTGGGTCTACCGGCCGACGGACGGACCGATACACCGACAAACTGACGCACCGTGCGGAAACAATGACAGATGAACTGGGGTGCAGACGTGCATGCAGATAATCTGATTGTGACAGACACACGGGTAAACAGAGATACAGGCAAAAACACAAGCAGACAGACTTGCAGGCAGTCTGATTAGTAGGTAGGCAGACGTACAGATGCGCAAACATACAGCTCTACCTACAAATATCACACATATTTGCAGGTAGAGAATTGCACGTGCGGTGCTACCACAACATATCTACCTACAATCACGCCGACACACACACACACATAGATTGGCAACCGGATATGGACGACGGATCGGGACCGCAAGACCAGTCACCGCGCAGAAGGACGGACAAATACATGCGCCCTCTACCGCCCTCCAGAGCCGGCCTAGCGCAGCAGCCAGCCAATCAACTCACGGCGCGGTTCTCCAGGTCGACTTTGTTGCCGAGCACGACGAACGGGAAGTGGTCGGGGTCGCGCGGGCTCGCCTGGATGAGGAACTCGTCCCGCCACGAGTCGAGCGAGCGGAACGTGTTGGGGCTGGTCACGTCGTAGACGAGCACACAGCAGTCGGCGCCCCGGTAGAAGGCCACGCCCAGCGACTGGAAGCGCTCCTGGCCGGCTGTGTCCCAGATCTGCCGGGCGGCGGCGGCGGACGCGCCGGTCACGGGTCCACGAGATCCTGGGCGGCGGACCCCCACACAAGCGACAGCACCACCACGGACGTAACGCATCAAGAATGTGATGCATTACGTCCACTGCATCGCGAACGTGATGTGTTATGCAGGATGGGGGATGTGCCGGCAGCGGCGTGGCAGGGCCTCACACAAATGCTATGTGATGTCTGACATCAAGAGTACCCATCACACACTACCACAACAGTGACCAACATCTGTTATCACGACCATTGAAGTTTGCTGACCATATCATACCGCGGCACTGACCAAACATTAATGAGGTCGAACCTTGCCAAACTGACATGGAGATGTGATAACCATAAACGTATCGTCCCACAGGTGCTCACCTGCATTGTGACCAGTCGGTCATCCACCATCACTTCTTTTGTCAGGAAATCAGCACCGATGGTGGCTTTGTACTGGTTTGAAAATTTCCTATTTACATACTGGTTCATCAATGAGGTCTTCCCAACACCAGAATCGCCGAGGATGATGACTTTCAGCAGTACCTTCTTGCGTGGTGACGCCATGGTCCCAGTCTGAAATGTAACAGAAACATATGTCACCTTTCTGCTCGATGATGACATTTTAGCTTCAAGCGCAAAGACGCAAACACTAAAATTAACAGCAACTCAACACAAAACACAATGTACGAGTGTGCGGAAATTTAGGAAATTCAATAACTGAATTTCAGAAGGCCTCGATTATAACCGGAGAGCAAAATTTTCACTTTCGGTGACGAAAGATGTGGTAAGCGTCACCACCCTTTGCTTTTCGGTCCCAAAGTGAGCTTGAGTTGGGAAGTGACAGCCCACGTATGGTCTGATGTGCCTTATCAGTCAGATAGTGGCCCCCAGGCCCGGCCAACACTAACGCTTGGTAAAGCATCTCGAAAAAAATAGGACATCCCGGGACATGGAATCACAAGTCAAGAACCAAAAAGGAACGACTTCACGTTCAGGCGCCATTACGATTCAGGATCGGATCCAGTAACAAACAATTTTTTAGAACCGACCGTGTGTCAACTGCGATCAACGCAATCACTGCTCTCATTTAACCTGGAAGTCAAATGAGTGACTGTATCAGGTGAGCTGTGCACCTAAACTTTTAAATTCTCTCAAAGCTGGGGCTGGAGCCCGAGTTAGAGGGGGAGTGGGTTGAAGCCCCACCCCACCTATTCCCCAACTGAACAGGAAACTACATCCCTTAAAGGGAGTGTTCCACATTTATTTGGGGTTTTGAACAGAAACAGTCATCTGGAAGACCTTTTGACGCTGTTCACAACTCTGCCCATCTTAAGACCTAAGCCCCCCTAGTTTTTGAGCCATACTCCCGTGAAAATGGGGGAAGTATTTCGGGGAGAGTATTTCAAAGCCATCTTGGCATTCATGACGTCAAAATAACGCCATTAAAATCCTGTCATTCCGTAAACCATCCGGCAACAAAGGCCAAGAAAAGCATGATTGTTGAGGCGTTCATATCTGGCGTTCGTGAGCATGATTTTTAGATATAATGGCTGGCAATTGGTTCTCAATAAATGTTGTGTAAGGTGTGATGACTTTTCCACTTAATAAGTATGTCAAGTTATAAGTGAGCTTGTTTGATTACATCTGATGCTTGCTTCAATATCTTCAAATGTAAAAAAATTACAAGAAACATTAAAACATGTTTTAACTGGGATGGGATCTGGTTGTGCTGCATGCATAACAATTTTGTTGATTGGCTTTGAACTTCCACAATGCAGATCCATATCATCTTGGTCAATGTTTTGAAACCATGTTTCCAACATCATCAAGCACTGCAAAGAACTCAAGATTCAGGCAATACTGTTTCACAACATTTGAAATAAATATTCCATCAGCTATGGCAAGCTTCCCAGCATTACCATTAATTGTTTTCAACTCCCTTCAGAAACACTGCTTAGGGCTGCTATTGCTTCACTCAAAGGAGGTTAGCCTTTTGTAGCAAATGGATTTCATTTGCCCCTACCTGATGGTATTTTCAATGTGTATGCCATGTTGACTCATCATGACCAACATGTTCATGGCCACCCTTATGTGTGAATGGGCCTCCATGTCCTGTAAGCAAACATTATCCTGTCCTTGTCAGGGCACTGATGGTGTACCTCTGGCAGATTTGGCCCTGCTCACAAAATATGCTCAGTGACATGTCAGTGGTTCACATTTCATGCCCTCCACTTTACCTTGACTACAGCATGACCTGGCCCTATAAGACCTGTCAATTGCTCACTACATTGTGGCTTGAGAATCTGAGTAACAGCAGTAGCCAGCCATTGACAGCATTCTAGCAGCCCCTTAAATACACTATGGAGGCTGCTCTCACTGTCAATGGATGGCTCAATGCAATGCAATCAAGTAATCAATCAAGTCAATGTAACATGATGCTAAGCAAACCATGCATATGTTAAGAACTACATTTTCACAAAATGTGAATAGAAACTGTCAGCTTAACATTGTTCACTGAAGATTGGCACACACTTACAAAATAATGTAGCTGTACCCCACTTCAACAAAAAAACAACTTGTTTGAGTCATAGAAACCTCCACATGGTAGAGTCTATGCCCCATTTAACTTTGGAGTGATTATATGACTGGAATTTAGCACAGTGATTGCATGACAAGGAACCAGATAGGATTAATTTAGTGGTTTTAACTGATCACTAAGCAATCCTGCAATCTTTAACATTCAATTCCCATTCTTGTTCCCAATATCAGAAATAATCAACTAATCCCAATGCCCATCAACTACTGAAAAAACATCTTTACAAACTCTGATCCACACATCAACACAATATGGAGCTCTATTTTGATCCACACCTGTCCAATGTGCTGACAGACTATGACAATCTTATATTGGCATGACTCTGACCTCAGGTACTGCAATATGGCAACCATTTCAGAGACAGTCTCAGGTCCATGCTGGTGTCAATATGTTAGTATCTGTGCCACTAAGCCAATGGACCTTGAGATGAGCTTGTTGCAAGCACCATATATGTAGCCTTGATTACATCAACATGCAAAGGGCACCAGAGAAGTTCTACCCATATACTACACTGCCACAATGCAGGCATCTCCTGTTGGCCACCAAATGGGCCTCTGCTGGCATGTAAAATGTGCATTCTACTGCTTTCTGGGAGTGACTCCTGCTGGTTTCCAAACAGAGCCTAAAACAGCCCTCAAGCAGGACCAACTGTAAGAAGCCAGTTCAGGCCAGTAGCAAGGTCCCCCGTCAGTCAGAAAACAGGCTCATGCTGGCTGCCAGGACTGAATGCTGCCAGCCTGTAGCGGCACCAGGCCTGATCTCACAATGCTGCCCTGACATAAAAATACTGGTGTTTGTCACTAATGCATGTTGTTCCTTAACATAAGCTGACTCTGAACCTGATATTGGTGCCAGGCTGGATGGTGCAACACCCAATGGACCTGGTCTCCATGGACCAGAGTGTGGTGGTAATGCCTGACCTTATGTTCCCCAACATCAAGCAGCCTTAGCTACCTGCACATGCATGGTCAGTAGAGAGTATCAATGTGTTTGGCTAGTTCAGTACAGATCACAATTAAAGTTGACCCTTTCTGATGTGGCATAGAATCTGAAAAATCATTACTATAAGGCACTTTGAGGTGCTATTATTTCTTTCTTACCTACTAAATGGTGTTGAGCATGCTAGACTTCAAAATTTGAGGAGGCATCCCCCAAATATAAGCCACTTGAGTTAAGTTGAACAGACCATTCGGTGTAGGTGTACTTTCCTACCTAATGTTAGAAAAAATCATTGCACACCATTCGTCGTGTTCAAGGCGGCATATATCGTAAATAATCTCAAAACAGGTAGAATCATGCTCCTACCCTCGAATTTCAATAACTTCGATGGCGAGCTCCCGAGCGCCGCGCGCACCGCACCGCCTGGACTCCCCAGCGCCGTTTCTGCGTTGCTGTTGCGTAAATACAATATTTCTGCTTACCAAGAACTCTACAAAATGTACGGGACCAAGGTAAGCCATTCGTCGTGTTTAAGGCGGAACATATCGTAAATAATTTCAAAGCAGATAGAATCATGCTCCTAACCTCGAATTGTAATAAATACGATAGCGAGCTCCCGAGCGCCGCACGCCCGGCACCGCACTGCCTCGACTTCCAAGCGCCGTTTCTACGTTGTTGCGAAAGCACAATATTTCTGCTTATCAAGAACCATAAAACATGTACGGGACCAAGGTAACAATAATAAAGCAACCAAAATCGTTTCTTATCGAGTTTAGGTACATTTATGAAACACGCAGGCCAGAATAGTCCAGAACATATCCTAACCTAACCTAACAGGATCAAATTTCATGGATTCTTGCTACCTTGTCCCGGTACATTTTTATGGTTTGCAGTAAATATGGTTTATAGTTATAGTATGGTTTATATAGTATAGTTTATAGTTATAGTTACGGTTTATAGTATGGTTTGCAGTTAATATGGTTTATATGGTAAATATGGTTATGGTAAATATGGTTTATGTTTAGTAAATATTTTTATGGTTCGCAGTTAGGTTATGGTTGTCCTGCCTTAAACATGACGAATGGTTTACTTTGGTTCCGTACATTTTGTACAGTTCTTGGTACCCAGAAATATTGTATTTACCCAACGGCAACGCAGAAACGGCGCTGGGGAGTCCAGGCGGTGCGGTGCGCGCGGCGCTTGGGGGCCCACCATCGAAGTTATTGAAATTCGAAGGTAGGAGCATGATTCTACCTGTTTTGAGATTATTTACGATATGTCATGCCTTAAACACGATGAATGGTGTACGATTTTTTCTAACGTTAGGTAGGAAAGTACACCCTGACCGAACATTCTTCCACATGGTGGGCTGCAAATACTTCCAGCATCCATGCAGAGTCAAATATTGATATATTTGAACAAATTAGAGAAAAGTACCACAAAAATAAGTGCCAAACCCTGTACACTCACAATTTCTCTTTAAAGCATTGCCATTTTTGCTGTGATAAGGCTACTTTGCTGGACATGGTTGGTGTGGTATGTATTATTGCAGTTTGGCATTGATGAGCCTGGCAAAATAATGGCACCATGAGACTGACATGAGGCCAGTTATCTGTTGAAAACTTCATTAGGCATGTTAAATTAACCACCAATTTTCCATTTTCAAAGCTGATAGATCACCTTAATGAAAAGGGGGAAAGTAGGTACTTCAAGGTTATTGCTCCCTCCTAGTCTCCCACTTCCTTTATTGAGCCAAGCCAATAAAATACCTGTAAAACAGATGAAGCCCTCAAAACAAAAATGTTTCTCGAGGCTCAACCAACGCTGCAACGTTCAGCAACAAACCAGTTACAAAAGACATCTGTGGATACCGAGCATGCCAGCTACAATGGAATTGAAAGCGGGCACTGAGAGTGCATAGCCAATCGTATGTTAAAAATTCATTGAAATCACCTGACCTTTAGCAGGCGGGGAACAGCAGCCGTGTGCGCCAATTCTCCACTAAATATATAATGAACACAAAAGTGAG